CGAGATGCTCAGAGATAATAGAAATTTTTAGTTATGAAGAAGACTGTGATAAGTTCAAACTAGAACTGGTAGAAACCACTGATCTTATGCCCTTGGGAAAGGTACTTTACACAACTTTCCTTACTTCACTCAGACAAAATTAATTCTTTTGTCCATTCATGTGTTTGTCCTCTGTATCATGGTGGCAGCGGTAAAAAACCCAGGAAAGAAGTTGATCTGAGAATTTGGAGGTTTTATTGTACAAAATACTATGACAAAGCTGTTTAGAAAAACTTTTGCTGAAATAAATGGCCTTGAGTGTGCTAACATCCTGAAATAAACCTATATTTCAATATGGTGAATTTCCCAGATTTCGGGGGCAGGTATTTCACTACCTGGGTAAGCAAAGCTGTCTTTCTGCAACATACAAACTTGACCTTGTCACTAACAATGCCCCCCTCCCCCTTAGGTGTGGACATTGTCCTGGACCCCCTGGGAGGTGCAGACACATCCAAGGGTCTGCAGCTCCTCAGACCAATGGGAAAGATCGTCACTTACGGTAAGTTTCCACATATACTGGGTTCTTCAAGCCACACAACCAGGGGCTTTTATCTGCCACCAGTTTTGCAACCTTTTCGACAATCTTCCCCAAACTGTTAAAAAAACTTCTTTACACACAAACAAACCAGTTTCAAAATCTATAAAGGTGTGGTCTCTGGTCTTATGTTGAGCATGTGAAATAGTTTCCTGCATTGGACATTGCTTTTCATTACTTGACATTTAAGTTTCTGTGCAAGCTCAAAAGTGCCACCTAGCATGTGATGAAAGTACTGTAGGGCAGATACCCACCATTATGTTTGGCCAATGAAAGTTTAAACACTGACTCAAGGCTTTATAAAAGTACTTTACCACATATCAATCTCTGAAATTCTTTTGCACCAAAACGTTGACTAACTCAAACTGAGAACAGTGCAATTTTGATATCTGCCCTGTGACGTGATTTTTGTGCCAGAATTGAACTCTTCCAAACTGTACTTCACAGGTTCAGCCAACATGGTGAAGGGAGAAAACAGGAATCTGATGAAGATGGCCAAAACCCTGTGGCAGTCCACCTCGGTCAGCCCAGTGTCGCTGGTCAAGACCAACAAGGCCATTGCTGGCTTCCAACTTGCACACCTCACAGGTAAACACACTTCTTCTTTTGGTTCTGGCAGCTGCCCTCATCCTGTTGAATATTATGCTACCAATGCTGGGAGACCTACTGCATGTCAGGTTATGTGTACAGTTTTATATATAGTGTATAGTTCTGTGTAGAAACACTTTCTCTAAAGAGAAAAACTTGACACAGATAGAACCCACACAATTCTTAAGTTCAGTTAGATACATGTACCTTCTTCTCAGTTTTAAGGTGGAATTGATAGAAAATGTAGATCATGAGTGTCTGTTTTTCTGTGGACAATATCAATGATATGTCATTAACTACATGTGATGTGAGAAAAATAAAGACGCAAGGTGACGTATGAAAAATTCAAGTCCAATGGGGCTTTGGAATTTTGGGTAAAGTAGAAATTTGGAGAAGATTCTCAGAGTTATATGATATTTCGAATTGCTTGATGTGTTTTTTCTGTGCCCCCCTCCCCAGGTGAAATTGAGCTTGTACGCAGTGCCTTCCAAGATATCCTGAACATGTACAAGGACGGGAAGATCAAGCCACGCATCGACTCTGTCTGGGCTTTCGAACAGGTCAGAACATCCCCACAGTCTTAATCAGTCTTTTTTACCCATTATTCCTATACTCTTTTCATAGATGATGAATTAAAGGCATCCAATGCAATTTCATGCTGCAAAACAAAACTTATATAGCAACATAGGCTGAGGAAATCTGTACTGCAATTTCAGGCAACCGCAAACAATGAAAAATAGTGTCCTTACAAAATTAGACTTCTGATTGGTCAATTTTTAACCAATTGGGCGTGGCTTGCAGGTTGCAGAGGCGATGCAGCAGATGAACGAGCGGCGGAACATCGGCAAGGTCATCCTGTCGCCTGAGAAGGAGCCCACCGAAGCCTGCGGAGGGCGACGCCGCGCCGACGTCACCCCTGAAGAAGAAGAAACCCTCGCTTTTCCGACGACTCTCCAAGCGAGCATCACGGTCCAAGGACGAGGGGGAGAAGAAGGATGAAGTTAAGGTAAGGAAGGAAAACATCTGTGTGAGACAGAACTGTAGTGTGAGACAATCCTAAATGATTTGTACAGACATCCACTGATGAGGTCATGTCAGGGCCACTGTCGAGTCTTCTGAAACCTTTATTTTTTGTTTTGTTTTGTTCTGTTTTTTTATCGTTACCTTCTTGTTGAGTTTAAGTTGATTTTGTTCCTGTTGTTGCAGAATGCAAAGAAAGAATCGCCCATAAAGGTGGGTATGGGATGCTCAGTGTCCCTAACCTGGGTTTAGGCTGGTCTGGAGCTAACACGCAGTATTGCTGTGCCTGACTTCACCGCTTGTTTTTACATACTAACATAAACGGATCAGTCTGAACTTACGTACGAATTCTTACTTCTAGGCACCAATCTCGGCAGATAAATTGTTCCTGTCTTTTTGACTTTGTAAAATGAAAAGCCTGCATGTTTTCACATAAATCTGCTTTGCAAATTTTTATGATTTATCATGTAATGGTTATATTAGCTTGGTGAAGGCTAAAGGGCTTATTCTGACTTTGGGAGGTAATATGAAATTACTAATGCTTGTTTCTTGGTGTGGGGTTTTGACTAATTTTGTATTCTGTATAGTAATATCATTATTTGCACCAAACTGTCTTTAAGGCAAGCTATATCAGCTTTCTCTTAGAACTTTTATATCTGCTGTATCCCTGCAGTACTGTTTCTTTGCAAAGCTGCTTTTACCAACATAACACCACATGACACCAACATCACACTACATAA